AGTTTTGATGATCGATGGCTCGGATGGATGGACTGCTTGTTCTCGACGGCAAAATCCTCTGTCCTCCTTAATGGGACCCCCGACACGTAATTCCTCTGCATGCGTGGTGTGCATCAGGGCGATCTGCTGTCCCCGCTCATTTTTGTGCTAGCAGCCGACCTGCTACAAGCCGCCATCAATGATGCCTATCGGGCGGGCAATCTCCAGCTTCCCATTCCAGCTCCTGATGATGATTACCCCGTGATACAGTACGCTGACAACACGATCATTGTGATGCCCGCGGACCAATCCCAAGCCGAGACCATCAAGCTCGTCCTCCAGGATTATGCGTCGTTGGTGGGGCTGCGCATAAAATTCCAAAAATCTACCATAATCACTGTCAATGCAGATGCGGACACGACTCCGTGATTGGCGCAAATTTTTTGTTGCATGGTCGGTTCCATGCAGTTTAAGTACTTGGGGTTGCCCATGGGCACTACCAGGCCGACGGTGACCAATCTCATGCCTCTGGTTGCGTTGGTGCAGCGCAAACTCTCCACGGCAGCCAAGCTCCTGGACCTCAGATCAAAGCTTACCTTGGTAAACTCGGTGATCACCTCCCTCGTGATATATGCCATGTGCTCCATCAGATTGCCATCGAAGATCCTTGATCATTTGGACAAACTCAAACGTTATTGCCTCTGGGCTAAGAGCATGAACGATGGCATGAAAGTTGTCTTGATGGCAGCCTGGGGGGCTGGTTTGCCGACCTAAAAACAAAGCGGGGCTTGGGGTGCTCGACCTCAGGGATCAAAACCAAGGTTTGCTCCTAAAACAGCTACATAAATTCTACAACCGCATGAATCTATCGTGGGTGAAGCTGGTTTGGAGCGTGTATTATGAAGGACTGGTGCCGCATGCATCTGACCCGTGTGGGTCGTTTTGGTGGAGGGACATCATGAACCTTGCGCCAATCTACAGAGGGGTCACGTCGGTGGAGGTAGGAGACGGGAGCACGGTACTGTTCTAGAAGGATGCGTGGCATGAAGATGTGCTTGCCGATAGCCACCCCCAATTGCTCTCTTTCTCCAAAAATGAAGACATCTCAGTTCAGAAGCTGTTGACCGCGCCTACGCATGGCCAAAACTTCCATTTGCCGCTCTCAGTCCAGGCCAGGGGCGAGCTCGAGGACCTCCAAAATAGCATGACCTCGATGGAACTGACAAAGATGAATGATGTATGGAAATGTGTCTGGGGTTCAGAGGAGTTCGCCTCCAGCAAGTTTTACCTGCACTGTTTTCGTGATGGAGTGGCGGACAAAGCTTTTGAGTGGATCTGGAAGACCAAGTGCACCAACAAATGGAAGGTTTTTGCTTGGTTGCTTATAGCGGATAGATTAAACACACGGGGGCTGCTGAAGAGGAAGAATATGAAACTAAGGGACAATAACTATG